CACTCGGAAAGCCATTAATCAATGCGGCGATACTTGAATGAGATGGTCTCTGGGTTCGGGTTCTGCTTTTGGGTTCGGTTTGGGGGTGTGGGTTCCACCCACAAATTGAAGGATTGGTTGATTGATTGAGGGCCTATTTAATTGAATAATTATGTTTACATTTGCCAAGTTGAGGTAACTCAACATTCAGTGGCTATTTCCTGTTCGCATTGTTGATGTATTTATTTATTTCACAACGTAATGTGTATACAGATATGTGGGGGGTCTGGCGTTAAATATATCCTGAAATGTTGACAAAACAATTGATGTAATGATTTTTAAAGAGTTTTACTTAAAGTATAGAGAAGTCTTTGTGAGAATATTATTTAATGGGGGTTTTTTTCTGGGTGTAAATGGTTGATAAATAATATACATATACATTTATTTAGGGATTTAATTATACATTGCATCCTTCAGGAATTTATTTTAAAATATATTAAGGAGGTTTTTCTTTAAATATTATTTAAAGTGAACGTTTTTGTATGAAACTGGTTATTAAATATTTATTAATTTCAGTTTTTCAAGCATTTTATATAAATTTCTTAAATTTTTACTTAGTTTTTAAACTATAGTAAACCTTATTTATTTCCATCTTAAACTCCTTTAAAAAATACTTCTATCTATCAAGTTTATTTATAAATTTAATCCTTCTTTTGTTAACACAAAATGCCAATATATTTTTGTGTGTTTTTCCAATGAGTTTTCACCTGGTTGCCTTCTGTGGCCCCCATTGGATAAGCCGCAGAGCAGTGTCTCTGGAGAAAATAAAGCCAGTCCCTAATCGCATTTGACTTTACCAATATATACATATATATTTAGAATATATATATATATCCCCTACCTGGCATGGGATCCGCTTTTCTTTGACTTTCTTTCCCTCCCACCTCGTTTCTCTCAGGGATTTGTTGTTAATTTTGTAGGCACTCGTACTTATAAATATATAGAAGATATACCCGTAGCCCCAGCCGGCAGAATGCCAACAATATGCAGGTGCATATTGTGGGGCAGATTGCGGATTGCGGCTTTTGCCTAACAAGTGCCAGCAAATGTACCGTGAAGAAACCATTTAGGATTAGTTTAATATGATACACAGAGAGGAGGAGGGGGAGTCGAAGGAGGAGGAGCAGGAGCCGGGCCAGAGATAACGCTCCTGGAATAAGCAAACAGTACTTAAAACTGCCGGGGCAGCGACTACTTAAGATGTGCCAGAGGACTACGGAAAAAAAAGTAGGAAAAGCCACGAGCAAACGGACGGGGCTCAAACGGGACTCTGGTGAGATAAAGCCCAGGCTCAGCCCTCAGTTTGGGTGCAGGGGGTGCAGGAGCAGGAGGCACAGGATCTCGGCACAAAGGAAAAAAATGACAAATTTGCAAATGTTAAGACGGAAAGAAAACATCAACATAAGTTATAGGCTTAGTGCGTAATCGTTTTTCGCAAAAGGACTCTCTCCTCCGCTTTCGTCCTTTTTGCTGCCGAAAAAGTGGATGCCAGCCAAGTGGGCGAAGTGGCGGCATGTGGCAACCACCAGGATGTAATGATGTGCCACCAGCCAAGGCATGGGTCCCATTTTTGCGGTTTAGCTAACAGCATCTTAAAAGTACTGCCAAAATCAGGGGACTTGTTTAATGGGCACAACAAAAATGTTAATTTCAAATATTTTAAAATTATTTAATTTAATGCAAGGTTTTAATTTAATGTTTTATTTAAATACTACATTTAATTGTGGTTTATTTTTGGTCCGAGCACGTAATGGCTACCAAAAATAGGCACTCGAACTATCTGACACAGATCATCGACTTAACTGCGGGTTCCCCGTTCCCCTAGCTTTCAGCCTCCATTAGACATTAGCCATGCGGATTTCCCTGGCTGTTCAAATTAAAAATTCATAAAAGCAGAAATGCGAAATTATGATGATAAAATAAACACAGAAAAGAAGCCGCAGACGCTGGCGACGGCCAACGACAGTGGCGGCCCTAAGAAGCGGGTAGAATGCACTGAGAGAAAGCACCATAAAAGTAATAATATATATATTAAGAAAATTAAAAAAGGGATTCTGTTAAAAATACAGAAATAACACTTAAAATGTGCTTTATAACTATTTATTTATATTAAATAAAACAAATTTATTTACATCTTAATTTTTTATAATTGAAATTAAAAAAAAAGTAATAAATAATTAATTAACCAAATAATAATAATAAAAAATAAATTAAGCTAAACAAATATTTTTGGATTAAATATATATTTTAACATTAAAAGGGATATGTTTTTATATTTGAAATATTTGGTAAATCAAACTAAAGTATATTTTCCATAAGCTATTGAGCCATATATATATTTAAATTTTTTAATATATATGTTTTTGTTTATTTATTTATTTTATTTTTTATTTTATTTTATATTTATATATAAATATCAGATCCCTACGTGCAATCTTTTAATTTCCCTCTCTTTTTTTTTTAGTGTCCTTTTTAGAAAGAAGGCGTGTAAGTGGGTGTTTTCTTCTTTCATTTTTATACCCTTGCAGGGTATTATAATTTCAGTCAGAAGTTTGCAACGCAGTGAAGGAGACGTTTCCGACCCTATAAAGTATATATATTCTTGATCAGCATCAACAGCCGAGTCGATCTAGCCATGTCCGTCTGTCCGTCTGTCTGTCTGTCCGTCTGTCCGTCTGTCTGTCTGTCCGTCTGTCCGTCTGTCTGTCTGTCTGTTTCTACGCAAACTAGTCCCTCAGTTTTAAAGCTATCTGAATGAAACTTTGCATATAGTCTTCTATATGCTCTCACTGCTATATATGTCGGAACGGGCCGGATCGGACGACTATATCATATAGCTGCCATACAAATGTTTGATAAATTTTTAGAAAAAAAGTATAACTTGGCTGTTTTTCAATATTTTTGCATCATTTTTGAGATATAGCCATTTTATATTATTCCAGAATTTTGGTAAAAATTTTATGAAAATCGGACGACTATATGATATAGCTGCCATAGGAACGATCGAGAAATTAATAGAAATAAAATTATAGCTTCGTTGTTTTTCAACGCATTTTTATTTACTCTGAGATATACGTTTTTTTTATTATTCTAGAATTTTGGTATAAATTTCATAAAAATCGGACAACTATATCTTATAGCTGCCATAGAAGCGATCGGTAAATGTATAAAATATATAAAGCTGAGAATGTAAAACTGTAACTGTCAAACTGTAAACATAATAAGTATAGGTAAAATGTAATGAAACTCTGTTTTGTGAGTGTTTTCAGCATTTAAATCTATAAAATAAACATCAAAACCAATCTGCAAGGGTATACAAACTTCGGCGTGCCGAAGTTAGCTTCCTTTCTTGTTTCCATTTTATTTTTTTTTTTTTTTGAGAACGAGGACTCTGGTTTGGGTCCTGCTAGCTGTGGGTGAACGTGACATTGGCCGGCTACTGTGAGAAAAAGCCAGCCGCAGAAGCGGACGGTCGAGGGTGGAGGAGACTCTGAGACTCCGGCGACTTGAGCGCTGATGATGTGGATAAAATAAACATGGGACATTGGTTTGGCCAAGACGGTGGGGGAGCAGTGCTCGGTGCTGGGTGCTAGGGGGGTGGCCTGGACGAAAGCGTGTTTAAACATTAAAAGGACCATTAGATACGCCTTAAAGTATGCTCCAAGTAGATTATCTTCCATCAGTTTTGTTTGCTTACTTGGAATTGTTTCGCTTCATTTTTCTCGTTTGCAAACACACACATACACATATAGAGAAAAGGAAAAACCAAGGAAAATCTTTCGGTGGCCAAAGCCAAAGCCAAAGCTGAAGCTGAAGCCGAGGCTGTGGCTGTAGCTGAAGACGCAGCCAAGCCCGAGAGAAAGATGACGTTATTATAAATTGTGCGCGTGTCCTTGTAAAATAACATCAAGTGAACCCAAAGGCCCACCCTGGGAGCCATCCTAGGAGCCGACAGCCCACTCTCTGGTCAAGTCGTGGCCCCGCGCTGCTTCTTAAATTACCAAGAAGTGCGCTTATTGCTGCTGCTCTGCTTTTGGCCATGGCCCGTGGCTCATGACTGACTGATGGGGAGGTGGGGGGGGGGTGGTGGTCACCAGCCTTGGCTCAATTTAAAGCCAACCAATTGCTCGTAAATTTATATTCCAAGCGCCCGTATTGGTTACCCACAGAGATCGGGCAAGAAATAGTCATCGTTATGGTCGGAAATGGGTCACTGGAAAGCCTTGAGTTTTCTCTAAATTTTCTTGCATTTTTTTTCTTGATTGAGACTTTTTAAATAGAAGGCTTAAAACTTTTATTTATTTTATTTATTTTATTTATTTTATTTATTTTATTTATTTTATTTATTTTATTTATTTTATTTATTTTATTTATTTTATTTATTTTATTTATTTTATTTATTTTATTTATTTTGTTTATTTTATTTATTTTATTTATTTTATTTATTTTATTTATTTTATTTATTTTATTTATTTTATTTATTTTATTTATTTTATTTATTTTATTTATTTTATTTATTTTATTTATTTTATTTTTTTTATTTATTTTATTTATTTTATTTATTTTATTTATTTTATTTATTTTATTTATTTTATTTATTTTATTTATTTTATTTATTTTATTTATTTTATTTATTTTATTTATTTTATTTATTTTATTTATTTTATTTATTTTATTTATTTTATTTATTTTATTTATTTTATTTATTTTATTTATTTTATTTATTTTAATACACCCAAGATATACACATTATCCTTCTATATTTCCGTTATTTCTTGGCTATATTATAATTTTCCGCCATTTATCACTCACCCATCGATATGAAAATTCGAAGCAAAGCTAGTCCTTAGCCACTTGCAATTAATTAATACCTGACGGAGACCCTGTTCCGTATCTCCATCACCAATTACATTAGCTCAGGCACCTGGCTGGGCTCCAGCCACAAGTCCTGCCATTTAGTCATGCGCCTCACTATCCTGTGGATGGTCTCTGCCTCGTTTCTGCCGGGGATCCAGATTCGGGGACAGAAGCGACTCCTTGCGGAGCTACCCAGTGCCCAGGATGAGCTCAATACCCGCCGTCTGGCCAGTGCCACCAGTTTTCTGACCAGGAACTACATAGCCAGCAGGATGAATACACTGGTGATCCGTCAGAGCTGCCTGTCGTGCTCCTCCAAGTTAATCCATCGCCAGCACAGGCTGGTGGATGAGGTCCTGTGGGGCCTGGCGCCCTACATCACTGTCCTGCTGCAACGTGGCACGCCGGAGGAGACCTCTTGGGACTATACGCTCTTCGTGGTCAACGATCACCTGGCCTTCAAGTGAGAGAGCAGAATGCGAGCTATATAACCCTGATCCTGATCCTAATCCTGATCTGCAGACAACAACCCTTCACCTTTTCCGACGAGATGCTGGAGCGGGAGTTCTTCTTTATGGTGGTGGTCACAGAGCTGCAAACCAACAAATCCATCTTGGAGACCGCCGGCCTTGTAATCGTTAGTAATCTACACCATCGGCTCATCAATGTGGTGGTGGTGGCCCAGCTGGAGGATGGCCAGGTTGACACCTATGCGTACACGCTTTTCAAGAAGAACTGTACGCCCGGAGTGACGATACGGCGGATTAATTACTTTGACCTGGCCACGGGCAAGCCCAAGGAGGCAATGCCCGATCTGTATCCGGTAAGGTATGGCCATCTTGGAGATTGTGCCATCAATGTGAGTGCCAACATTCTGCCGCCTCATCTGATTTACAAGCCACATGGTGGTGGTGGTGGTGGTGGTGGTGTTGGGCCTGTGCCTGTCCAGGGTCTCTCCGGGATCGACTGGGAGCTGCTCCAGCTGCTGGCCCGTGCCCTACGCTTCAGGATCAACCTGTATGTGCCCAGCGATACCAGCCAGATCTTTGGCGAGGGCAATGTCTCCGGCTGTTTTGCCCAGTTGGCCGATGAGAGCGCCCAACTGGCCATCGGCGGGCTGAGTGGCTCCGACAAGCGGCGCTGGCAGTTCTCCAAATCAACGGTTTACCATCAGAGTCACTTTGTAATGGTGGTGCGTCGGGATCGGTATTTGGGTCGCTTTGGTCCGCTGCTTCTGCCGTTTCGGGGTAAAGTGTGGACCTGTATAGTGGCGCTGCTGCTCCTGGCCCTGGTCAGCACTGGCTGCCTACGTTCCCGTCTTGGTTTGAGTCATCCCCTGGAGAATCTGCTCTTGGTTAGTATGGGGAATCCTATACCCATTCAGCGGCTGCCGGGCACTGGCTTCCTACGATACCTCCTGGCCAGCTGGCTGCTCCTTACCCTCGTTTTGCGCTGCGCCTATCAGGCTCGACTCTTTGATGTCCTGCGCCTGCCGCACCACCGACCATTGCCCGAGGATTTGGCTGGACTAATCAGGGATAATTACACCTTGGTGTCCAATGGTTATCATGACTTTTATCCCCTGAATCAGACGCGGCACTTGGGCGAGTCCTTCGCCGCGAGATTCGAGAAAGTCCAGCACGCGGGCCCCGGGGAGCGCTTCACCACAATCTCGCTGATCAGCAGCCTGGCGTATTGGAATCACAGGCGCAGGAACACCAGCCAGCTGACCTTTGTCCGGGAACCGATCTATCTGTACCAGGTAGTCATTTACTTTCCCAGGAGATCCTTCCTCAAGCCGGCCGTGGATCGCAAGATCAAGCAGCTGCTGAGTGCTGGGGTCATTGCGCAGATCGCCAGGCGGTATCTGCGCTATGTGGAGCTGGTGGATGCGGATAATGATGGCATTGTGCTCAGGCGGATCACCTGGAAGATAATGGCGGGTGCCTATCGCCTTCACTACCTGGCCCTGGCTTTGGCCGGGCTTGTCTTTGTCCTGGAGTGGCTTTCGGGCAGGGGGATAGGGGCGGGCAGGCTGCGTCGCTGGATGGAGTGGGTGCAGGGAAGGACCTAAGGGGGGAGGGTTAATTTCAGCGAAATATTAGTCGTGGGATATATTTTTTCTTATTATAAAATATTTGAAAATACTGGAAAATAATTAAAAACATTTACAAAGTTTGCTAAGCAATTTTATCTTAAGATTTATTATTAAAATACAAGAATTTTGTCTTTAAATTCACTAAATAAATTTTAAAAATATTCTAAACATTTCTTAACATTTCGAATTAATTAAAATTAGGTATAAAACGTATACATTTAGTTATTATTTTTTTATGTATTTATTTTATATTTATATTTTAATTTTTTTTAGTTCTTTTTTTATTTATTTATTTTGTATAAATATATTTATTTATTTATTTGACTTTAAATTTACTAATTTAATTATTTTCTAATTATTTTCTGTTTATTTCGTAGATCTTTAATTTTAATTTTAAATTATTTTAATTATAAAAAGTCTCTTGCTAATCCTCGGAACAGCTGCATTGAGATCTCACATTGTCTGCTATTTCCCGATTTCGTGATTCCCTCAATCGAAGGTTCCTGCGATTCCCTGCTTCCTCTGATTCCCTGCCTCCAGGGCTCCTTGCTGCTTCCTTCTCCCAGGACTCGTTTGCTCCTTCCCTGCTACCATATTCAATGGCAGCAAGAAAATCTTGCATCGACAACCTAAGTGGTCAGCGCCTAAGCCCAGACATGCTGCACTTAGATGGATTTTCGTGCGGTGGCCTTAAAAATTGATTTAAGACTTGTAAATGTTCCCACACCCTCCTGTTCTGCTTATATTTTTTTTGTTTCACCCCTCCGAAAAGTATCCTGCTGCTCCTTCTGCTGAGCTCTCCACGTTCGCCATGTGTGAGCAGCAGGAGCAGCAGCGGCAACTGGCCAACTGGCCGAGCGGCACGGAACGGCACTTGAGTTAAGCTGTGCAAACGTTTGCATAATCACGTTCCAATTTAAATTGCTCTATTTGCCGGGTGTCCGAGGAGGAGATACCACTCCCACGACCACTTCCACTTCTAGCTGGAAAAAGCGGACAAGTTTTATTAGCCGAGCACCATTCCAGCTCTTCTCCTCGCATCTGTTTGCGGAGACTATGGAAAAATTGTGATTCCGATTTTACTTGGTTCCGCCATCCAACCATCCGTGTGTCCACTTTTCAAATCACTTTTTTCCGGTTCCTGTTGGGTGCGTAAACAAAGGGCAGTAGTCCAGCCAGCAACAGTTGATAGTTTTCCGGGGAAAGCTTATCGATTTGATTTGCATAGAGTGCATATTGCACTCAAAAGGATTGCTGAGAGAAGAGAAGTCTTCCCTCTCAGATGGAATTAAAGCTCCTCCAGGAGTAAATACTACCATAAATTTCCCCTTTGAATACTTTTCGAATTTATTTTCATTTATTATTTTCCGCTAAATCCACTTTCCAATCTTTATAAGTCCCATAGACTATAACCTCATCCTTGACTATCGGCTCGCCGCTCTTGCCATCATCGGTGGGCTCCTTATCTGTCCAAACCCGCTTGCCAATGCCACGATTCTGTTGCCTGCCATGATATGCCACCGTTAGCATTTCCCAGTCGAAGACCACACCAGCCTGCAGGTTGAGGCCAGTGCGTAGCATCTGGAACATACGGATGATCTCATCGTAATCGGGTCGCTCATCGAAACCCATGCCGCGGCACAAATCCAAATACATGGTGAACTGCCCGGGATAGCCATCGCACAGCACCTCGTTGCTCACCGAGATTTTCTTTTCCAAAATCCGCTCGTATTGCTGGTGCTTGGTGGAGGCCTCGATGCGCTGCCAGGGCAGAGAGCCGCGATTGAAGTACATAAGCACATAGCCCAGGGACATCATGTCGTCGCGTCGCGAGGACTCTACGCCCTCGTGGGCACAAATGGAGGCATAGCGGGCAGTGCCGGTGAGGCAACGTTCCTCGCGATATGGTATATGCACTCCGGTCGATATATCCATGTACTTTTTGGCCAGACCAAAGTCAATGAGATAGACTTGCCGGTTCTTTGTCCCTACGCCCATTACAAAGTTTGCTGGCTTAATGTCGCGATGCAGGAAACCACGATCGTGGACATACTGGATCCTACGGAGCATCTGTTCGCCCAGTAGCAGCACCGTCTTCATGGTGAAGTAACGTTCGCAGAAGAGAAAGAGCCGCTGCAGCGAGGGTCCCAGGAGATCCATTACCATGGCCTGGTAGTTGGGACCCTTGTGGAAGTAACGGATCATGGGCAGGCCAGGAGCAGAGCGAAGGGCCTTGTATACGCGGCGTTCGTACATGAGTTGGGGGGTGTTTTACCTTGAAAATATATAAATATATATAAAGAAAATATTAGATATTATATATATATTTTTTTTGAATATTAATAATAATTTTTAAACACCCACCTTGGTGCTCTCCACCTTGATGGCCACCCTTTCCCCGCTGTGCGGATAAACAGCCAGGTATATATCACCAAAGGAGCCACAGGCTATCTTTCGTATCACCTTGTAGCAACCGATTTGCACTTCCTTGAAGTGTACTGGCTTGGTTTCCGGTTCCATTGTGCGAATTTTGGGTTTATTTTTCGCCGAAAATATATATAAATACTTGGGTGTGTCTATATTTGTAACCCCCTTAAATAAGGGAAATGAAAATCCACAAGTTCCTTAGATTGAGCTTCATATTCAGTTAACCTGCAGCCTTTCTAGGGACATTAAGTATACGCCACGTTGATCGGCGCACTTAAACTATGGCCGCAACAAAGCCAAGAATTTAAGAGAGAGAGAGGGCATGTATGTGTGTGTGGGTGTGCTTGTGTGTATTTGTGCGTATCGATTATCCTGGCAGACGGCGACATCCGTAGACGGAGACACAAATGCGAGCAGGATGAGCAGCAGACGAAGGAGGAGCGGCAGCAGGCAGGACGAAGGACGAAGGACGAAGGCTGATGGGAGGCTATGAGAACGGATCAACTAGCCAGTAATAATGTCTTTCGCTGACATTTGACATTTTGGCTATATATCACTCACATTGTGACAACTGGCAACTTGGCATTCAAATATAGCAGGAGCGCCAGGAGCGCCAGGAGCACCAGGCTCTCGGCCCTCTCAGACGTTTAAGAACAATAAATTTGTGGGCCTTCGGCCTGTGCCTGTGCCTCTGTCTCTGCCTGTGCGTGTGCCCAGAGCCCTAGCCCTCCCTATATCTGTATATATATATATATAAATATATATATAGATATATAGCTGCCTTATCCCCCCACCGATATATATGTATGTATAGAGCCCCCCCCCCTCTTTGCCCGTAGCAAATGTTTGGCAGTAGCCTGCAAACCCAATGACAAGACGGAAGCGACATATTTGAACTGGAATGAAGCGGGATTGAGGCTGCAGCCGGGCCCATTATCATCATCGATGCAGGGGGAGAAAAATTGTGTTGAAAAGAAAATTAAAAGATATAAAAAAATAAATAAAAGGTTTAAAATTTGTGTTTAAAAATTGTTTAAAGATTGAAAATATATATAAATATGTACAATTTGTGTTTAGAAAAATTAAAAGAAGAAAAAAAATATATAAATATTTCAAATTTGTGTTTAACAAAAGGTAAAAAAATTAAATATATAAAGATGTAAAACTTGTGCTTAAAAAAATTATAAGATTTAAAATATAATATAAAGATATAATTAATATATATATTTTTATATATATAAATACTTAAAAATTGTGTTATAAAGATATAAAATATAAATAAAGATTTATAATTTGAGTTTAAAACTTTAAAAAAAAATTGAAAAATATATAAAGTTTTAAATATTCATTGAAAAATACACAATTTAAGCATAGTAAAGTTAAATTAATAAATTTAATGATTAAATTTAATTTTAAAATATTTAAAAATATATTAAATATATATATTTAAAATATTTAAAATAAAAAATAGACATAACCCCTTCTCTGCCTATAAATATTAACGTTAAAATTAATACATTTAATAATTAAAAATATTTAGAAATTTCAAAGTTAATATTAATAAATTTAATAATGAAAATTATTTTAAAATAATTAAAAAAATACCCAAAACAACACAAGCACTAAGATTTTCTCCCCCTGTACAAGCCATAAGAGCTGGCAAAGTAAAAGGAAGTGGGAACTGAAGGCTATGGAGCTGGAGGAGCCTGGCATTTACATCATAACATGGCCGTCTGATGGATAGACAGATAGCCGGGCATTAGCATTAGTGGCCACCACAATGGCCACGATGATGAAGATGATTACGATGACGATGACGATGATGATGATGCCGATGACGATGGCGACAGCCGCTCAACTCCAAGGATGAGCCAGCTCCTGTTTCTATCCTTTCCTGGCTGAGATTCGGATGCGGATAGTGCCATTCGGAGCGAGGAGTAACTGGGATTCAACTGCGGATGCGGATGCGGATCTGGTGTCTGTTGTCTGGTTTTTGGTGGGCGTGGATGGCTGATGTTGAAACATGCGGGTAAATTATCTTTTCATTTCCATCAGCGTCCTTGTTGTCCGCCGCTGTTCCTGTTCCTGCTCCTGCTACTGTTTGATGTAGTCGTACCACCTCCTCCCACCTGCAACGTGGAACGGAGTCGCCATTCGATTGGATTGTTTGGCTTGTTGCGCTTCTAGCTGGTAGCTCCTGGCTCCCGGCCTTGGGCCTCATTAAGATGGAATTCGAAGGCAATAAAGAAGGGTTTTCAGCGAGAGTTTCGCCAGGGTGAGGGGGATCCAGGGAAAACTTACCATATTTCTAGAGATTTAACACTTTTTATTTTGATTGAGTATAGAATTAAGCAAATTTGATCAATTTACCAACAATTAAAAGTAAAGTTTCCTTCCAAATCATATTACCAAGAAGGTTAAACCCTAGTCTAGGTCCTTTTCTATATCCTTTCTCCATTCTAAATGAGTATTAATGAATATGAAACTTATAGCCAACTAAATTGCCAACGTGTCGAAAACAAACGTGACAAAAGTTCGCTCCTCTGCAAAATTGCACACAGGTCAGCAGTGAAAGAGACAGAAGCCACCAGGGAGAAAGAGATGGGTAGAGAGAGAGAGAGAGGACAACGCTTTGATGGCGCTGAAGTTGGATGAACAACAAACAGCAAAATATAAATGACTTTAATAGCTCATCAATGATTCAGGCGGAAATCCGGGCTGTCCAAGTGCAGTCGGTTTATTGGATACCGGAAAGGCAGTCCTCTTCTCTCTCTCACTCTTTCTCTATCTCCCTCTTTGTATATATAGATATATCCCTCTCTATCTGACGCCCGTTTTGTGTATTTGTTTGATTGTGCCCAGAGTCGTCTGTCTGGGCCTTTGGCTGATCACGAGTCGCTGGTTTGGGGGCCTTCCGTCTGCTTAGCTGCAATGATTTTCACGCTACCTCCGAAAAGTATGCAGCAAAATTTGCATATTGTTTTGCTCCCTGCAGTGTTTTCTCCTGCAATTTGTCTCCTTCCAAGGATTTTTCCACGCCCTGCCCTGGCAGCATCTCAAAGTGCACTGGAAAAATGAGATAGAAATTGCAGGGGTGACTCAGAAATCGCTGGCATATTAGAAAGTATATTTTGTGTAGCATTCTTTTAAGAGGAATTTACGGAGATTTTAAATTTCTTAGGATTTTTGAGAGTTATTTGTTTAAATTAAATATAAAAAATCATATTTTATAATATATTTTATATTAAGAGGAAATTAAATAAATTTAAAATTTCTAAAGATTTTTAAGAGTTATATTTTTTTTAAATGTAAAAATTATATTTATGTATTATATTTTATATTAACAGGAATTTGAAAAGATTTCAACTTTTTGGAGATTTTTAAGAGTTATTTATTTAAAAAGTATATTTAAATTTTATTTAATATTGATAAATATAATTTTTACAATTTTATGTATATTTTATATTCTCTCGTCAAAGAAACCCTTTTTGTTTTTGACAGTGTTTGTGGCATATGCACCCTATTCACAAGTCACCTCTCACTTGACTCGCTTTCCCCCTTTACACCTGGTTGGCCTGCATGTCTATATATATATGTGTGTGTGTGTGTGTGTGCATCATTATTATCATCATTATAGATGGCACATGGCCAGTTTCCCCCATTTCCCACCTGGCATATTCCCCCCTCCATTGGCCATGCGACAGTAGCCGCTTGGCTTTTGTGTCTCATTTATTATGCAAATCTGAGAGCCGGGCGGCAGCAGCAGCAGCAGCGGGCTAAGGTGTGCGGGTTCCTGCATCCTTTGCTCCTTGGCTGATTGGGCCAAAGGGTTCAAGAGTCCAAGAGTCCAAGAGTCCAGAGTCCGGCTGCTGCAATTACAGTATGTCGAGTGAATGAGAAACAATAATGCTTATCGCATATTAATGAAACGACAGCAAATATTACAAATCAACGCAATTGGAAAATTTATGCAGCTACCCTACCCATACCCCCACTCCCACCTGACCGCAAATGTTATTTAAAGTTTGAACAAATACAAAATTCCATAAATCGAAGCTTAAGCACTCACTCCCTAAAATTATTAATATATTATATAAAATGATACCTTTGAATAAATTAAAAGGAAAAGGCATATAAGTCGAGGTTTTTGAGAGGTAAATAAATAAAAAAGAAATATATTTAATTAGTTTTTAACTGACTTAACAGTAAAAGCATCCCAAATGTCTAGAAAAACAGGGTATTTCCTGGCCATAATGAAAACAGAGACAGAAAGAGAGAGAGAGAGAGAGAGAGAGAAAGAGAAAGCGAACAATAATAAAAAGTAAATATAATTTCAGTGTTAATCAATTACGTGCTTTAATTGAAATCGCCAAAGTCAATAGCGAAAATCAAGTAAAACCAAAGCGAGAAAGCATTTTGGCAATATATATATACATATATATATATATATTATATATTTATGTGCATATATATGCCTATCTGAAATGCATATTATAATATATATTTTGTTTTTATTTATCTATGAATTTTTAAGCGGCCAAGATACCCACTTTTCACTCCGCAAAACGAATGTCCGACTGTCCGTTGATTTCTGTTTGCCCACGAATTGCTTTTCAATTAACTCTAAGCCGTAAAAACATAATTGAAATGCGGCTGCCCAGCCTCCCAGATCCACCTACCATCTACCCATGAGGCAATAAACAAAGTAAGACAAGTAAGTGGGAGTGTAACGACGGGAGGGTACCCTATTTTGGAGTTTATTTTTAAGAGTTTACTCTATATATATTTATACTAAAATATATGAAAAGCCTAGCCTTTTTTAGTTTTGATTTAATTTAAAAATAATATTTTGAAAGCTCAAAATTAATTTATAATTTTTTAAAAATTCTTTTAATGGTTATTTTTTATGGAGAACATTTTCTTAACTCTAGATTCGAAATTTATCCTTAATTAAAATATGTTATAAATAAAATAATAATAAATTAATTAAGATGTACAATTTTCTTTTAGAAATACAATTAAAATTAGCTGCAAGAAGGTTAAAAATATTTTAAATTTATATTAAGAATTTATAATAATTAAAATGTATTATTAATATTAATTTAAAACATTTTTTAAAGCTTTGCAACTAATTTTAAATTTATTTTAAAGGACATACCATGCAAAATCTTGATTAGTTTTTGATTTTTTAGAGTTTGTTTT